TGTGGGAAAAGTAATCAAATTGCTTTCAAATGTTACTTTAGGTCTTCCATAATCCGTGTAGATTAACCCTAATCATAGAGCAAAATTATATTTCTCTATGGATCTTAAATGTGAGCAGCTGCAACAACCCTAGAGCCAGTTTAAGGCTTAAATTGGTATATATAATGTGTATTCATCCTAGTTCGTTTAGGATGATAAAGAGACTGGTAGCTGAATTTTCCCACAATTATATAAGTAGAGATGAAGTTTGCATTGAATCTAACGTAGCCTTATTGTACAAAAAGTTATTATCATCCAGGATGGACTGCCTATCTTCTAGGTCTTATCAGCACCCCCTGGGAGACTCGAACCACGACACTGTATAATCTCCATACGTTAACCACTACGCCCCATTAACACGGTCTCCCTTGGGTCACATGGCAGATGTTAATTTAAAGGAAGGTCGAGCATTTTCCGATTTCACATTAGATGGCCTCGAAAACCTGATTATAAACGAAACATTAAGGTGATATAGTTTTTCAGTGATAATTGCTTGCCTGATAGTTAAAAAATTGGTAACGTAGGTACTTGATGCGAGGGCAAAGTAAAGGAGAGCTTGGAAGGTAGGTAGAAAAATCTATGTAGAACTCCTCAAGAAGTTACACAAGAGCTGAGGGTGAGCGCCATGGATATAAACGAACACTTCCTTAGAAAGTTGTGATTAGATGTAGTGAAGCGGAGACCGGCACAATATAAGACAAAGGCTAGACCTTTCCAGAAATCAATTGGCCTGGCTCATAAATAAAACAGAGATCACAAAAAGATAAAATAGGTTTGGAAGTAACTCCATGAGATGCCATTATAATAAGAGGATTGGATTACACAATGTCCCATGCTGAAAAAAGAGCAAAATTTCCGCCATCCGGCGCACTTGTATACCCTTTGTTGAGCTAGCTGCAGAAGACCAAGCCAGTGTTGGGCTCTATATCACCATAATAACTTGCGGTGTTTCCTCCTAGTTTGAAGATACCAAAATAATTGGCAGCAGCTTTTTAGCCTAAGAGTTTATCCATGCACAAGATTAAAAAAAGTGGGAAGCAACAAGGTGGATCCTGAGCGAATGAAAGTTATAAAGGAATCAAGTTGAAGTGGAATAGTAGCATATTAGTAATAGTAATTCATAGTAAAAGGGCAATAATTAATATGTAAAAGACGTAAAGAACGGAATTAATTAAGCTAAATACCTTATATTACCTGCATAAATAAAATACCCTAATCTTTAAACAAGTAGCTTCAAGTACAAGCAGCTAATAATGTATTCAATTTCAGGGACGTTTAATGGATTAAGTCAGTCAAGGATTTGGTCGATAAACGTAAATGCAGAAATTGAAAATATGAAAACCAGTGTGTCATCCATTATGGTCGTTATCTCCTTTCTTTGTATAGAAGTGGTTTTTCCTCATTTTCGCAACTTGGTCATGTTGTCAGAGACCTAGATGAATGCACCTTGTCCCGAGTCCCTAGGCCATAGTAGTAATGAGAATATACAGGGCCAGATCGTGGAATTGGTACATTTGGTAGCAACATTCACGGCTCGATGCTGAAAATTATCACTACTATGGCGGAGGACATTGAATAAAATGCATTCCCATAGCGTGGCCAAATTGAGAAAAAGATATACAACCATCTATATAGAAAGTGCAGAATTTTTTTGCAATTAGTTTGAGTAGCAAATGAAGACTTTTGAGTACATTTGCTAATCCTGAAATTATGAGACTTAGGTCGAAAAGAGTTGCTATGCTAAAATACATAGTTTGTGCAGCAAAAAATCAAATCTAGAACAAAAAAATGAGGAGCAAGAGATACATACAAGCAAGAGCACGACACCAGAGCCTCGAGGAGTATCCTGGGGTAGTGGGGTCTGCTTCCTCTTCTTCTTCATCGTCATCTTCTTCCTCCTCTTCCTCCTCTCCTTCCACCTCTTCTTCTCCACCACCACCACCACCACTCTCGGCCAAGGTCTCTTCTCCCGGTTCCATGGAAATGTTTCCAATGCCTACTCTATCAGATACAGGATGGTCTCCATTTTGAGGCTTCATTGGGGCGCTATCAGCGCTTATGGCTTCGGAATGTTCATTTGGAGGTTGTGCGGCTTGGCCACTAGAAATGACCTCGTTATCTAGTAGTGCACTACCGGTTATCTGGTTTATTGGTCCACCTGTACCCGATGGATTAAAAGAATCGGTCATTTCTTCACTAGCAGAAGAAGTATGTTGTTCGTCTGCCCTGTGATCATGGCTTCGTTCTGGAGAGGTGGTGGCCGAATGTGAGACACGTAGAGGCTGTTGTTGCCGGGCTGACCGTCGCCCTAATCGTCCAGGTGGTTTACTTGAGTTGACTGTCCCGGCGGTATGAGTGGCGGGAGCTGTTTGAATAGAGGAACCAGTTTCTTCCTTGATCACGATAGGAGAGAGGGAGGTGGTTGAAGACTGTTGGTGCGTACCGTATGAAGACAAGTCAGGTTTAGGAGAAGGAGGCTAAGTAGAAAGATGGACACAGAAAATTTAATATTATAACCAGGAAACAAGCAAATAATATCGCATATAATAAGGCGTCTCATCAATAATATAGTAATTATAGATATTATATTATTGGTTAAAGCATCATTGGTTCTATACACGCCTAAAAATAAATCATCTATCAATATGCTGAACGGATGTGCAAAAGGTTAAAACTTGACGAAAAAATGTCCGTACAAAAGTTGTAGGTATATTTTTGGCGAATTTATTATAATTTTATAGGGCCAACCTGAGCTTTGCTTAAATATTGCAATGCTATTATGAAACTAGACATGGATGTCAAGATATTTATTTATTTAGTTAAAAGCAAACCCTTCTGAATGAATAATAAGATTAGGGAAAAGTAAAAGAAGCATTTTTGCTTAAAAGTGAAGCTTATCTCATTCTGCATCGTTAATTTTCCTGAGATAAAGCAAAGTTCTTTGACGCATAATCTAGGAAATGAAGAACTTGGTCACTTAAAATCCGTTGAGGTAATTTAGAGACTGATAGTTGAATTATCCCATAGTGAGATAAGTAGGGCTAATTGAATTTCACATAATCTTGCCTCCAAAGAAGCTTATCTCATCCAGGGTAAACTGCAATTTCGATATTGTAAAGGTCTCATCAACACCCCTAGCGGGATTCGATATAGGGGTCGTGAGTTTCGTGGCGACGTTTACCACTCCACTAAATGGCTACAGGTCACAAGGCAGATGCAGAATTCAAGGCAAATCAGGCCTTTCCCAACCCACACTTTATTATTCTTGCTTAATAATATCATTAAGTACTAATGGTAGTATATAAATCTATTTGGATCCAAAATAAGTATCGCCATTGATTGCAATGGCATACATATGCTTATTTAATCGATAGTCCCAATATAGGATAAGAGTTGAGAAAGGCCTTGCTTGTCTTGGATGCAGCATCTGATTGGCTCATTGGCATTCGTGACCATGTAATGGAGCGGAAAACCTCGCCAAAGCACTCAAGACCAGATATAGAATTTCTTTGGGGATACTGATGAAATCTAGGAGAAGTCAAAAGTGCTCTTCACATGGATAAGGTGACCTTTTGGGAGACAGGGATAAGGGAAATTCAATGGAATCGTGGGGCCTAATAATCATATTTTGGGAACAGCTTAATTAATGGTATTCAAATCAGCCTTAGTGATATAGAGTAATTAATATCTTATCGGATAAATTCATCCTATTTCGTTGTATAGAAGATGTTTGACCTAGGTTTCGCAACTTTGTCATATTAGCAGGAAGACCTAGAGGAACGTACCTTGGGCGGAGTCCATAGTATGCATGATCATTTCCAGAGTGGGACCGTGGACTTGGTACATTCCCAAGCGCTACACCGACATCGTAGTCGGCATCATCAGTGAGTCTTTCTAGTCTAAACAAGCAAGCTAAAACTCGTATAAAAGACAAGGGAAGTCAACCCCCTTGACCAAATTTCTGTCAGGACGGTTATGCTATCCCGCCTCGTTTTGTCCTGGTCCTTAATCTATTTTCAACTCTCTAGTCTCGTCCTCGTCATATCACAACTTCTGACGTGTTAATATTCCACAAAAGATGTGCCTTTCTGGCAAATTTACCATGGCGTCTTCACACCAGCTATCTGACTTACTCCTTTCTCTTTCGAGTAGATGATCCTGCTCTAGTCTCATGACCGACTCTGCCTAATGGTCTCGTGGGTCCGTTTTCACTCAGTCCAACACCAGCGTACTTTTACTCCAAGTGCACGTACAAAGTCGCCTTATCTGCAGAGCGCTTATGCTCAGATAGCCATTCCTGCAGATATTAGGCATTACCTTCAAGAATATATGAAGACCAAGATGTTGTGGCCTCTGGTGTGGTCACAGTCTCCTTTCGATTTATAGAAGTGGGTTGACCTCGTCGCAACTCGGTCTTGTTTTCAGGGAGACTATGTAGAACGCACCTAGTCCGAAGTCGTCTGCCATAGTAGTTGCCATGATTCCCAGCATCTGACAGTGGACTTGATACATACAAGTCTCTTTGTCTTTTTGACGAGTTCATATCTTGGTGCGGCGAA